CTGTTCTTTAAATACTCTTTAGATGATGACGCATCATTCAGTTTCATTTTGCTAGCGAAACGCGGACGTCAAACGAATCTTAGTGAAGTGAGTTTGGCTCCACTGTACTGTGGAGCAACAAAACTGAGCAAAGAAAAATACTCAGATCTAATGAAACTGTTAAAGTATATTTCACCCATCTATCATGATTTCTATCAAAAGTTGGAACACAGCGGTCACAACAAGGATGTACTAGAAGATGAACTGCTCGATGACAGCGGCGATGATGATCAGTAAATTCGTGTGGTTTTTATTGTACTGTTTGTAATAATGAGGACTATTTTTGCCGATAATTAGTAAATAGTAATTGTGTTTATTTACAACATAGTGTGAAATTTTACTACTTGCCTTAATTTGAATTGCTATTGTAAACGAATAATATGAAATTCGTTCATGATTTTACACTAAAATGATTTAGCGATTTGTTGATTATGTTTAGAGAAAAAATGGACCAAGTCCATAACTATTATTATATTATCAATAATTATTCCAAAATTTATTTGCGCATTTCACATATCTTATTGTCTAAGAAAAAAGATTTAAAATGATACTAGACATCAATAATATTACATATGGCTGATTTATAATATATGCAAACACTAAGAACGCTTATTTCTAACAATATAGAAATATGGACTTGGTCCACTTTTACTCTTATGGGCTCATATATATATATATATATATATATATATATATATATATATATATATATATATATATATATATATATATATATATAATATATATATATATATATATATATATATATATATATATATATATATAAATATATATATATATATATATATATATATATATATATATATATATTTCTTTTTAAATATTAATTTTCATATATAAGTTATAATTTTTGTCCTATTTTCTCCTATAAAAATTAAAAGTCAGAATAAAATTTAGTTTTTTAAATATTTTTTAGGCAAACGTTAAACAATGGGATTTATTGGATTGTTGCAGTTGGCTAGATTCCATCGGATTAACTAATTATATTAATGTTTTTAAAGGTATTCTATAATTTGTTTAAATCAAACTTGATTTAAACAAATTATATGGAAAATACATTTTTTTTTCAGTGACATGGAAAATACATTTTTTTTCTTTATTTGCCACCTAACAACCATTTCCCTTTCTAAGTTGCTGAGACATTTAACGGTTTTCCACAGCCATGATTTTAACTTTATTGTAGAATGCTGTTATGTAAGTTGCAAAAAAACATTTTATAAAATAAATAGTTTTCGTAAGCATGTTTACCGTTATCATAAGAATTATGGTTTAAAACAAAAAGGTAATGACCATCGTGTGTCTGTGGTTGGTAAAGAAGAATTAATTTTTAGTTATGACACTTCTAAAGTAGTAGTTGATAGTTACTCTCTTTTTTTAAAGATTGTGTCTGAATTAAAATATTGTGTTGGATTAATGTTTCTGAAATTGCGAGAAAAACATGTAGTTTCCAGCCAAGTTCACATTGAATTTGTATCTGATTTTAAAGAACTGTTTCAAACTTTTTTGACATCATACAACTATGTCATTGAAAAGTACTTACCAATGCCGATATATGCTACATTTAAAAGTATTTTAGATAGTTACCTTCTGTGTGATGTCTTTTCACATTTTATGAATGAATATCAACTTGTTAAGTTTTGTAAAAATACTCTTTCTATGGTTGAGCCCGTAGAAATTAAAATTATTGATACAAATAAAAAAGTTCATAAATTCCACTATATAAGTTTGAAACGTAATCTTGAAAAAATACTTTCAAACGAAGAGGTTTTTAATGAATTTGGTAGTTATTTAAATAAAATAACAATTTCAGACTCTAATAAAGACAATTTAAGTGATTTTCATGATGGAGAAATTTTTAAAAAACATCCTTTGTTTTCCACTGACCCAACTGTAATTCGTATTCATTTGTTTATAGATGAGTTTGAATCTGTTAATCCTCTAGGCTCCAAGAGAGACAAACATAAAATTATTGGTATTACACTATTGGAAATTTGCATCCACGCTATCGCTCTTAAATGTCTCAAATTCATTTAACTGCATTGGTTCGTTCTAATATTTTGAAGAAAACTTCTTATTCTGAAATTATGATTAAAATTATGAAACCATTAATTGATGAACTCATAGAGTTGAGTAATAATGGAACTATTTTAAAAACTAACAGTATGACTCATTCACTTAAAGTAAGTCTTGCAACAGTTTCAGCTGACAACTTAGGTGCTCATGCACTAGCAGGTTTTCGCTGCTGTTTTAGTTCAGGTAGGGTTTGTCGAACCTGTCTAGTTCATTTTGAAACAATGAGGCTAAAACAATATCACATTGACTGTTATTTAAAAACAGATCATAACTACAATCAACAGTTGAATGCAATAAATAAATTTCCTGTTAACAAATCTGTTTATGGAATAAATCAATTGTGCTGCTTGAATAATCTACGATTTTTTAATGTTTTGGAAAGTTTTCCACCTAACATCCACCATGATTTCTAAGAAAGAATAGTTCCTATGGTTTTAAAATTAGTTATCCAAAAATTGATATCACCTAACATTATTTCTCTTAAACAACTTAATTATGAAATATGTAATTTTTCATTTGGGTTTAATGATAAAAAAAGTCAACCAGTGCCTCTAAGTGCATCAGTTTTGTCTAAGAAGGGTCGTATAATTGGAAAAGCACCTGAATTGTGCTGTTTTTTTAGATGTCTGCCAATTATAATATTTGGTTACATATCTAGTTTTAATGATGACTGCCCAGCCTACTGGTTTGTATATCTTGAACTAAGAAATATAGCTGATATCATATTTTCACCAGTTATTAAAAAATATTCTCTTGGATATTTAGCTTAAATAATTGCATCATTTGTTAATTCTTTTGTGAATATATGGCCTGGAAATTTTATTCCTAAAATGCGCTACATGGTGCATTATCCTAGACAAATTGAACTATTTGGACCTTTGCGACATTTATGGTGCATGCGATTTGAAGCCAAGCACAACTACTTTAAGTGTCTTTCTCGTGTTGTTTCTAATTTTAAAAACATCACTTATACACTTATACATCAAATGCGCCAGTGTTGTGAATTAAATTCAGTTGATTTTATGAAAATTGAGCAACACAATCAAAGAAATGGTATTATTATATCATTAACTTCATTACCTGAAGGTCTTCAAGTAGAACTTACACATAACTTTTTACTTGATCAAAACACTCAATTGTGGAAAGTTAAAAATGTTTCAGTAAATCATTGTTCCTACCAAACTGGTGACTTTATTGTTCTTAACATTTTAGATGATGGTACTCCTATTTTTATGTCACTCAAGTATATACTTAAAATTAATGGTTTATGGTTCTTGTGTGGTAAACTGTGTTCTTGTGAAAATTTTCTTTTTTATTTACATGCTTATAATTTAATTGAAATATCTTCTTGGGTTGTTTATCTTTCTGGACAAGAAGTATAACTTAAACCTTTAGATGGATATTTAATGTCTGATGGACAACTTTTAGTTACTTTACGTAGTTTATCAACAAAATAATATAACATTTGTATATATTTCAGTTGTTAGTTTATTTGATTAAAAGTCAACAAAAAAATAAAATCATTTTTTTAGATTTTCACTAATTTCAATTAATTTTGTTTTATATGATTTTCTTATAAAATAATTTGGTACAAAAATTGGTACAATGTATATACTTTGATACATACTTAGTAATGTTGAACATATTTTAAACATTTTTGCATATTCTTCAAACCTTTCATTTCAATTTAAACAGTTTAACATTCATTCAGAAGGTCATGTTTTTTTTTAATATTATAATGTTGTTATATAGGAGAAGATATTGATGGTTCGGGTATTAACGAAATAGATGATTTTATGTTAAAGGAACAAATTCTTCCTATTAAAGACAGAATTATTTTTAAGAAAGAATTAGCATCAAAGAATGTTATATGTGTAAGGTCTTCATCACCTACGTTAAACTCATGTAATGTAAGTTTTACATTATTACCTGTTTGTGCCAATAACGAGGCACCAACTATTTCTGAATCTTTGTAAGTTATGTTTTGTTTGTTTGTAAACATTTACAACTTTGTTTATTTTCTTTTAAATTTTATCTTATTTAAAATGTTATATTATTAAACAAAAAAAATAATAATTAAATTTATACATTATATTTAGCCAAGATTGTGTGCACGCATTTTACACAATTAGGACTGTATAATATAAAAAGTTGTTTCATAATTCATGTCTTGAATTTATTTTTTAGTATTCAGTCAGATAAACTAACATTGCCCCATATTCTCCTTGCTGATGTGGAATGAAAAAAAATAGACTTTAGTATTCCAAAAAGTTAAAAACTAAAGGAGTATGTTATGGATTTTCTTTTTGATGTCATGAAGCAACAGTACTGGTTGTAAGTATTTTGATTACTGTGTAAATTATAACTTAAAATAGTATAATTTTTTAATTTTTAAAGTAAACATTTATTATCAGTATTAAAGTTGGGAAAATAATGGTATTTTATATTTCTTAACATAGCTGCCAATAATAATAAAATATGTTATTGCTTTTCACTAAAATAAATGCTTTATAGATTTCCAAGTACAAGTAACTTCTATGAAATAGCAAATGAGCTTTTCCTAAGGTATCCTTCTCTAAAACCTTGTCACTGCAATGGCTCTGTGAGTATTCAACTGTATAATTATAACTAATAATATCAATGGTGTTACAAAGTTATATAGCTAAAGAAGTTTTTTCTTTTATTCTATTGTCAGGAACTTCTTGTGCATTTGTTGGAGGCAAAATTTAAGCGAGTTAGGCGTCCTCTTCTAAATGATGAGCAAGTTGCACAGTTTAAAATAAAGTAGTCTAGAATTAATTCTGGCCGTAAGCGAAATTCTGTCTTGCTGAATGAGTCTGTTAATCTTTGCTCAGCAAAACGTCACTGCCATCATTCAAGTGATAAGGTAAGCACGATTTCACAGCATTTATAATACATATTTATGTGAGAAAATGCATAGTGTATTTGATTTGATAGCATAAAAAAAAATAGTTACATATTTTAATTATTATATAATAGAATGTGGATAATGATATAACTCAAGATATTATAAAAAGCATGAAGAATGAGTTTCAGAAACTGCGCCCAGATATAGAATTTTTGGCTCATCAGATTATCTTGTCAATTGAGGCATTAAAATATACATGCCGAAATGAAAGAACTTTGGATGTCTTTAATAAATTCCCAGCACTTTACTATCAAAAAGTTGTAAGTGGTTTATGTAGTATTTTTTTGTATCTACTATTGCGGCAGAAAGTAAGTATACACCCTACCCAAATCGTAAAAATAATAGTTTAATGTGGTATTTCTTATTTTTAGAAACATAATAGAAGCAATTATTGCATTCTGTGAATTTACTTAATCAATATTCTTTGCACTTCCTGTTTACAACAGCAAGTGTGACTCATGTTGTGTACTAAAAATTAAACTTTAAAGAGTTAACTTTGTATTGTTTAATTGTACAAATTTTGAAGACAAGGTTAGTAATTGTTTTACGATGTTATAGTATTGTTATTATAATTAAGTTTTTAATAACAATTAACAAATAACTTTTTTTTATTGTCCTAAAAACTTTCAAAATGGTTCTGACCAGTTTTGACTTCAGGCCAATTCATTAATAAATTATTATTATCCATTGTTGAGATGCATGTTGGGTTTAAGAGAATTTTTAGTTACAATTTGTTAGTTTAAGCTAATACTGATTAATTAATGTCATTGGTTTTTCATTATTCATATTTGGCCATTTGTCTGATATATTTTGTGTAATTATTCATTTTTATATTTGAAGGTATGCCCAAATACCGTCGACTGACAACAAAAGAAAGACTTTGCGCAGTGTTCTTGGCAGAAACAGGTGCAAGTTTAAAAAAAATAGCTAGAGAACTTAAAGCAAAACCAATGGGTATTAGGAAAATAATAGATAAACATATCGAAACTGGTTCAACAGCTAATAAGAGGCGATCTGGAAGACCAAAGAAAACAACTCCACACACTAGCAGAGTGTTAGTTTGAATGTCCTTGCAGGATCGTAGACTCACTGCCCCTCAACTCGGTCGAAAACTTTCTGAAGAACATGGGGTTACTCTGGCAATTCGAATTGTACGTCAGCGCCTTCTGAAAGCAGGTCTTCGTGGATGTGTGGCTGCAAAGAAGCCACTGCTTTCAGCTACAAACATTCGTCGACGATTGGTATTTGCCAAAGCACACAAAGACTTGACAGTAGATGATTGGAAACATGTCCTGTTCAGTGATGAAAGTTCTTTCAAGTTGTTCCTTAGTTCCAAACGAGTAACTGTGCGAAGAAGAGTTGGTGAAAAATTCAGTAAAAACTGTATTGCTCCAACTGTCAAGCATGGAGGAAAGAGTTTAGTGATTTGGGGGTGTATGTCTGGCAATGGGCTTGGGTACCTTTATCGATGTACTGGAAGTATAAGCCAACACCAGTACATTGATGTACTACAAAACACAATGTTTCCTTCTGCTAGTGCACTGTTTGGGCAATTTAACTCGTTCTTTTTTCAACATGACAATGCACCATGCCACAAGGCCAAGACTGTCACAGATTTTCTTCGGCGTTATCAGGTGGTAGTACTTGATTGGCCTGCTCATAGCCCGGACATGAATCCGATTAAAAATTTGTGGAGCGTTATGGCAAAGAACATTGAAGGAAAGAGAACATCTAACTTGGATAGTCTTTGGTTAATTTTGCAAGATGCATGAAACAATATTGATGATGTTACAATTACTCGCCTGTTTGAGTCAATGCCAAACCGTATGAAACATGTTATTAAAGCGCGAGGTTACCATACTAAATATTGATCAAACTGTTCTTGATACAGAGTGTTGTTTTTGATGATTCTGATAAATAAAAATTGTGTTTGCAACAATTTATAGTGTTTTTAATTGCTTAAAATAATAAATGTATGCAAAACTCAATGGTGTATACTTTATGCCGCTATAGTATATTGCTCTTTTAATGTTGTCTTAAAACTGCAGCATTCCTGAATATGAACAATAATTTGCCCATTTAATGAACTTGATAGCGGCTTAATGCAAGAACTTAAACAACAATTTTTCAGTTGTTTTATTACTTTTATAAGGAAATTTACTTTCAATAAACATAAACTATATATAAAAGTACATAACAAAATTAAAATTATAAAACTAAATAAAGTAGGGTTTGTACTGTACCTGGAAAATTCGTTAATTTTGGCTAAAGTCATGGAAAACCTGGAAAAGTCAGGTTTTTTTCAGAGTCAGAGAATTCAGACAATTAGAGTTATTAATTTACCCGTTTTACAATTCAGCTATTATGTTTTTGTTGATGCTAGCTTTTTACTTTTTTTGAAATTTTGTTTTTCTTAGTGTTCATTCTTAGTATTCCTTAATAATAAGATCCATACTAATATCCAACTTAACTAATAGCTAAGTTTTATAAGTTTTGTCATTTAAAGCATGTACAGTTTTAACATTTCCATTACATTACATTAGATAATAGTTTCAAACATTTTACAAAAACTATTATTGAAAATAGTCAAGGAAATGTGTCTGATTTTTCAAAAAAGTTAGGAAAAATTCATAGAATTTTATATAAATATTTGGCTACGAATCCTATAAGACAATTGGTTGCATCTTTAAAGATATATTTACTGGCTTGGCGTGGGAAGTTCAAAATTAATTTTTCTGTGTTTATTAAACTTTTTTATTGTTTTTTTAAAAGTCAGCAAATATTAGTTTTGGTCAGCTAAATAACATATGCTACTCCATGGTAATACTTCCCAAACTTTTTAGAAAAGTCTTTGTAATATTAGGGTGGAATTCAAGGATATTTTTTTATTTAATGGCGTAGTGAAGTCATTTTCTTTGTTTTATTTTTAGCTTTTTGTATCCAAAGAAACTACAAAAAACCCTGTCTTTTCTAGAACATTACGTTTTCGAACGAAGGAGTAAACTTCCTGCCAACATTCAAAACATTGCTAGTTTTTGAACTTATAATATTAAATTACAAAACTTAATAACAAATTGATGTTATTAATTTGTTTCAAAATCTTTATTTAAATCAAGTTTATTTTTTTGAACTCTCCACTTTTTAGTTGTTTTTATAGAGAATTTTTTTCTTTTTTAACTGATATAGTAGTATAATATTATATAGTATAATTTTACATAGTATAATTTTAGTATAATTTTACATAGTACACAATAGTAGAAGTACATATAGTAGTATAATTTTACATAGTACACAAATCCTTCTCTCTCTCTCTCCCTATATATATATATATATATATATATATATATATATATATATATATATATATATATATATATATATATATATATATATATATATATATATATATATATATATATATATATATATATATATACATATATATATATATATATATATATATATATTATATATACATATATATATATATATATATATATATATATATATATATATATATATATATATATATATATATATATATATATATATATATATATATATATATATATATATATATATATATATATATATATATATATATATATATATATATATATATATATATATATATATATATATATATATATATATATATATATATATATATATATATATATATATATATATATACATATAATTGGTTTTTTGAAAAACCATTTTTTTTAAGAGTGTAGGCAACACTTTCCAACCACAGCCAATGGATTTCGTTATCCTAAAGCCTTTGCGCACAAAGTTACTTTACCGTATGGCGGCATTATCAACTCGGCTTTCAATAAAGGCCATTATAGATCAAATGATTTAATTTTTACTTTAATTCTTTTTTAGGTGCACTCGAATATCTAATAAAGGGGGAGTGGATGTTTATCAATTTTTGAAAATTTTCCCATCCCCCCTTAAATATTATTAAACAAAGAGGGGAGATTAAAAGCTTATTAATCCCCCCTCTTCGTTTAATAATTTTTACTTGTTATCAAAAAAAATATATATATAAAAAACAATAACAAAAACAAAAAAAAACAGTGAAAATCGGTCTTAAAAACTAGAAAATAATTATTTCAGTTACTGATAAAAACAAAATTTTTCAGTCTAAACAGGCTTTAAAAATCACAGACCAAGTAATTCTCGATTTATCGAAAATGAGTTTTTAATTTATTCCTCACCAAAGTATAAAACTTATACCAACATATTAAATCCTATTGAAATTATTACAAAACAGCTGTTAGAAAATGCGCATTTGACCGCAAGTTACCTTAGAATTAAATAGTTTTATGGGAATTTTATGTAAAAAATATTAGTTGGATTTACAAACTAATTTTTTTTTTATAAAAGATAGTTATATTGTAATATAAAAAAATTCCCTCACCTTTCTTTTATAAACCCCCTTCCCTCGTTTATTAGATCTGGACTAAAATACTCCCTCCCCTTTTTTACCAACACTCTTTATTATATTAAGTATTCTAGAGTATATCTTGCGGCAAAAGGCGATGCGTCAGTGGAGCAAACGTTAGTTTGGTACGTTTTTAAAATATGAAGCCGGCTCTATTGCTTTGTAACCATTTTCGCAATGTTCTTAAACTGCCGCAAATGAAAAGAAACGCCTAAGGAAGATTTTCAGCCATTTTCTTTCAAAAGGGTGACCAACATGACTCGTGTAGGCTTTATCGCGATTTCTGGAATTATTTGTTTACACAAACAGAATTAATCGGCGGTTCATATTTTTTCCTAACTGGTAATGCCTGACAACAAACAGATTAATCGTCAATATCTATTTACTCTTACCCTTGCTTTAAAAGTTTTTGGAAATTCTCTACCTCGAATAATTATGAGGAGGAACTACTCCAGCCAAATCACGAGGTGTCATTCTTCTTTTGATGGAGTTTAAGGCTGAAAGTTCAGTTGCATTCACACCATGAAGTAAAACATCTAAATCAAGCAAGCAGAAAAGGTCAATCGAATTTGCTAAGGTTTGCTAAGACTTGATCAGCCTTCATTAAATTTATTGTTTTACGTTTAACCAACCAACTTGGTTTTAATGAGCTCTTTAACATTAAAAGCATGTATAAAAGTTTTAACCACTTCTAATGCGTATGAAAGTGTCCCCATGTTGCGATACATATCCAGTGTTTTTAACTTCTCATATTACAAACACTGATGGAACCAATACGTACTGCGGGCCAACGACAAAGATGAGATCCTTGGTTTTGATTTTGTATTCTATATGAATCAGCAATGGCGCTTGAATACTTGCTGCAGGATATGACCCAATGGCCACACTGGCTTGACCTGGCTTGAAACACTGGATATGACCCAATGGCCACACTGGCTTTATCACCGTTAGAAATGAAAAACACATTTTTTGTCCAAACAATTCGCAAAATTGATCTTTGCAAATTGTTATTAGTGAAAAATTTGCAATATAGTATCATTATTTTTTTTTCACATTATTTTTCTGGACGTTATAGCTTTACTCAGCTGTGTTTTTTTAGAAGTGTTTCCGCATCGTGGTAGAAGACGAAGGCACAAACATCTCCTACTCATTGTAAAGGTTGTTTTCGTTACATCTGTCTAAAGGTTTTTGTCTTCATTTCTCTGACGAGTCTCACAAATCAATCTAAAAACAAATTGTCAAAAAATCTTTTATTCGGTTATAAAAACATCTATACTAAGGGTTTTGCGAACTTTGGCTAAGATTGCATAAATAAAAATTACGCAAATAAGAAACTATTATTGACAATAAAATTATGAAAGTTTATGCCAGTGAAAAATATTGGCTTTATTTAAAAATACTTTGTTTAATATAACTCTAGATGTTTACTAGGAACCTAACGATTTCTTAAACAAATTATTTAGTAAAAAAATATACACAAAATATCTTACCGTTCCAAGTTTGATTTTTCTTTTCTTATGTTATCCTACACAGTGTCTAGTTGTTTGTTATGTTAGATAGACCAGAATCGCAAACGATTATCATCGGTGAAAGTTGTGATTCAAAATCTTAAAATTTTTTTAACTTACAACTGTGCTGATTTTCTTTTTCTTTCTCGTTGGATGTTAAATGTAAATTAAGAAATACCGACAAATTAATAATTATAAACTCTCGAAATTAGATAATGATCAACTAATTTTTGATATAAAAGAACAAGTCTGTTGGTCAATGATAAATAATATCAATAACTGTCCTATATGTAAAGAAAATCGCAAGAGAAAAAGTTTGTAAATTATTACGAAACGGGCATAAGGAGATCAATTCTTGTAAGCTCTTGTCGTTGTTGCGTTTAGAGAATTTCGTGATTTTTTTGTAAAATCTCTAAATTTCACAAAGAATATTGAAATGAAACAAAATTTCTCTAAACAAATAATTTTTTCCAAACATCCAACCTCTCTAACTGAAAACTCTTCCCCTTCCCGAGGAACAAAATTTAAAAACAAAATTATACATACAAAAAATACATCTATTTATAGAGATGTGACGCGTTTTTTTGGTTCTTGTTTTTTTGGTTTTTTTGGTCGTTTTTTTGGAAAAAAAAAACGCAGGGGTTCGTTTTTTTGGTTTTTTTGGGAAATATTTAAAAATTCATCATTTAAGCTACTAAATTCAACTTTGATGGCAATATTATTAAACATATTTTAATTTAAAATTTATATAGGAAAACTAAGGCTGAATTTGGCTAAAATTCTTTTTCTTTTGTATGTTTAAAGGTAATTTCATTGGTAATATTTAGGTTAACAGGGTTATAGCAGCCCTGTATAAAAAATTATTAGTTAATTTTATCGTCTTCTATTCAAATTTTATTGACTTTATTGTTTTTATTGACTTAACTACATTTACTTAATTTTATTTAATATTTGATATATATATATATATATATACATATATATATATATATATATATATATATATATATATATATATATATATATATATATATATATATATATATATATATATATATATACATATATATATATATATATATATATATATATATATATATATATATATATATGTATATATATATATATATATATATATATATATATATATATATATATATATATATATACAGATATATATATATATATATATATATATATATATATATATATATATATATATATACATTATTATTATTGTTATTATTATTAATTTACTGTACTTACAAAGTTTTGAGTTGCAAATAAAAAGTTATATGCAGTTTTTAAAGCTCTTTTTAATAATCACTTATGTTCTCTATTTAATTATATTTAAATGTTAGATATTTTGCTTAACATAGTAAATTTTAATTATAAAAATGAGTAAAGCAGGCCATTCAGGGGGGAGAAACAAAACCGTAGTTGCCAATTTATTTATACCTATGAACCAAATTAGCAAAATGGAAAGAGTTAAATGTTCTTTTTGCTTTGACAGAATGTCGAAAAATGGAACTCGAATGACTAAACATATTGAAAATGTCCTGGTGAAGTAAAAAGTCTATATGCAAATAAATCAGGTCATAGTCAAAAACAGCAAGACTCTCCTGCAGATGCTGAACCAAAAACAAAAAATCCTCGATCAGATACTTTTGGAACATCCTTTTCTGAATCAATTAGTAGAAGTAAAACACCAAGTTCCATGTTTGATAGCATGACAAAAACTGAAAAGGTGTGTAATGTATTTTTATAATTTTAAGATTTATTTTAAGAATGAACTGATATGGCTACTAACTTATTAAAAATTCATGATGAATAGATTTTAGATTTGTTTCATGATTGACTGATGTACCAGTATGACATATCTTTTGCAGGATTTGATTGATACACACCTAGCAAGAGCAATATATGCCAGTGGATCCCCATTCCATTTAGTAGAAAATAACTATTGGAAAATCTTTATGAACAAGTTACGTCCTGCTTATAAGCTTCCGTCAAGACATGAAGTGTCAAACTTATTATTAGATAATGAATTTTCAAAGATTTCAGCAAATGTTAAAGAAATGGTAGCAACTGCAGATTATCTTGGATTGATGTGTGATGGATGGAGCAGTTTAAGGTACAAAAACATTTTTTTATATAATTAGTTGATGCAATTGAAACTATATTATTTACTAAATAAACAGATCATATTTGTTTATATGCTGCTTTTTCTTTACAGAAATGAAGCAATCATTAACTTTGTAATGACATTGCCTTCTTCATCATCCATTTTGTGGAAGACATTGCCTACAGGTAAAACCATAATTCTTGTACTGTATACAATGGATTTACTTAACAGACTGGTAGACTTATGCATATTATTTTATAATTAACTTTGATATTAAATTTATAACAAACGACACTGAAAACCATTTCAATATACAGAAATAAAGTATCAGTAAATACGTTTATAATATTTATATAGTACAGTATATATAATATATCCTAAACTGTTTTGTTGGAACATCAAGCCATTCTGGTGAATATATGGCAAATGAAATAAAGAAAGTTTTAGAAGAAATAAATCCTAACAAAGTTTTAGGCATTGTGACTGACAATGCTGCAAATATGAAAAATGCATGGACTCGTCTAAAAGATTGTTATCCCCATCTTCATTGCTATGGATGCATTTTACATGGTTTAGATTTGCTGTTTACAGACTTTTTAAAATTGGCAACTTTAAGTGTTTCAATGTCACAAGCAACTGATATTGTTAAAGAGATAAAAAATTCTCATTTATCTGTTGCAGCATTTAGAGATATACAAAAAAAGTCAGCTGGTGTAGTAACATGCATTACATTGAAACTACCAGTACGAACTAGGTAATAAAATAAAAGCATAAATATACAGTACATTACAAAAAATGTTGAATTATGTAACTAAATTTATTATACATTCATAAAAATAGATTTCATTTAGTAAATTACTTTAATCAAAATTTATTTAAGTTATTGCAATTTTGTGTATTTTATTTAAAGGTAGGGATCAACTGTAGCATGCTTAGATAGCATACTGAAAAATAAGCAACCATTAAAAACATTGGCTATTTCTGAAAACAGTGGGCCTAATTCAGCAACAAAAAATATTCTTCTATCAGATATTTTTTGGGACAGGGTTGAAGGTTTTTTCAAATTGCTGTCACCAAGAGCTGATGCAATAAAGAAAACTGAATCAAATGCTCCCATGTCATCTACTGTTGTGGAAACTTTTCACTTCTTAGAAGATCACATTTTTAAAAATGTAACAGTTAGCCCATTCTCAAAAAAGGAAGAAGAAGAAGCCAAAAAGATCTTCAAAAAAAGAAAAGAATTTTGTTTAACAGAAATTCACTTGGCAGCCAATATACTAGATCTCAAATTTCAAAGCAGAGTCTTGACTGGAGAACAAAAGGTATTTCCTACACATAATTCATATATGATTCTTAAAATCAAATACCTTTAAAAGTAAAATTTTTGAAAAATTTTGAATTTTTTAAAATACTATTTTCAAGTTTGAAAATACTATTTAAAATAATAAAGTAAATATAAAATTATTAAAAGAAAAATCTTTTTATAGATTGATGCATGTGAGGTGATACATAACATTGCTGCAATTATGCCTGAAGTAAACAAAGAAATTATGATGTATGATTTGGCTATTTACCAATCAAAGGGTGGTATATTTTTAAAATCCTTTATTTGGACTGCAGTTGGAATAACTCAACCTATAAATTGGTGGAAAGGGTTGTGTTCCTTTACTGAATTATCAAAAGTTGCATCTAGAATTCTTCAGCTACCAGCTTCAAGTGCAGCATGTGAGAGAAGTTTTAGCACTTATTCTAACATTCATAGTGCAAAAAGAAATCGTTTAACGACTGTAAGAGCTGGAAAACTAGTTTTAATTTCACAAAATTTAAAACTGGAAAATATTGAACACCAGTTATCAAAATGGTACAAGCATAACTACTCCTCCAATTAATAACTCGAGTGTAAATAAACTTCTAAGCACTTCAACGCCTTGGTCAGAGTCTGAAGCGGTTTATATAGAAAGTGACAGTGACTTAGTTTATGAACCATTAGATGAAGATAGTCTTGGGCAGGAAGACTCGGACTCAGAAAGCACATCCATTTAGAATATCTTTTATAGTTTAAATACATGATAAAATTACTAAACTAATGGCTTTTTTGCTTAAATATTTATACTTTTTTTTAATTGTGTATATACTACACTACACAGTGCTACACTGCTTAGCACTGAATTAATTTTATAAGGGCTTACTGGCAATATAATTCAACATAAGTAACAAACAATGTAAGATTAATGTAAGTTTTTTATTAAAACATTAATTTTAAATTGGTGTTTATACATTGTATTTGTGGTTATAATGATCATATACTATAAATAAACAGAATAAAACAAAAACTCTTCCAAATTATTTACCAAGAAAAGTAAAAAACTTGTTTAAAAAGTCCAAAAAACCAAAAAAACACCAAACAAACCAAAAAAACATAAAAAAAAAACAAAAAAACACGTTTTTTTGACCCAAAAGAACGCAAGAGGAAAAAAACGCGTTTTTTTGCAACTCTATCTATTTATTTATCTATCTAAAACTATGTATTTCAGTAGCAAACACTACATAGATTCTTTTTGCAATTCTTTTTTTAATAGTTTTTAATTTTCCATCCATTTTTGCAAGGCATGGCAACCAGGAGTTCCAAAACCGACGTCTTCAATCTTGAAAAAAAGTTCTTTAACAAGTTTTAAATCTTAATTATCTGAAAGTTGACTTTTAGGATCTGCATCCACTTCCCTGTCAGTTGGTGGTAGATCAGGTTGCTCTTCGGCTTCGTCATTTTCGATATCATTTTTGTCCAAGTAATCTCCATAACCCTCATACAGCTCTATGCAAACTCTTCTTCATTGTGTTGGCAACGTTTCCCTCAACAAAAACCTTTAGGAAATGCTATCTGTTTTTTTAAATCCTTTAAACTTACTGGTTATATCCATTTAATAAACCCCTCCCTGAAGTCTAGCATCTCCTACAAGATCCGTAACTTTCTTGTTGGCCAAGTGATCTTCAGAACCAGCAAAAGCCAGAGAAACTATATTTTTCTTGTGAACATCTTCACGATCAATTTTATGATAAACTTCATCCCATGCATTGTTAAACATTAACATTATTTGATCCCCAGATGGCGCTGGTAATTTATTTGGATATTTAATAAGAAAGGTCCAATATTAACTGCATTTTCATTTTCATGTAACCAGCTTTGCTTTCTCTATAATATGAGGTATTATTTACTTGGACATCCCCAATATTATTTTGTTAAATTTCTTTAAAAGATGACAAACATTCTTGCACTCATCACGACTTTATTTTTAAAATGAGACATAGCATTATAATCAAAAATGTAAATTTCCAGAGCATTAAATGAAGATTTATTACATTATTAGGTATTATTAGATTTATTACGCTTGATACTAGTAAGAGTTGCGAAATTTTGTCTCACACTTCCAAACTTTTTAACTTCTTCGATTACAGCGTAACGCTTTATATATGGTTTTGCCGTTAATACCAACTTGTTTCAAATGGAAGTGGTTTAACGGTATCAAGAATTACTTGAAAAATTTCAGATTTTTGCATTTGTTGCATTTGTTATAAAAATAATCATTTAATGAGTCCTTAAAAACAAAATTTTGAGAATAATCATCCCAGTTTAAACGTAAGCTTATAGTAAACAATCAACGTGAACTAACGATTCCAAATCAAATCGCATGTTTTCGTGGTAAGAACAAACGCATACGTTGTGAGACAACTTTGAGACAAACCGAACGTTTTCTGGTTGCAGTTCACAAAACCTGCTAAATCAAACCTTCATATCCAAATCATCATATTTAAAAATCTAGTTTCAGGGGTAAAGGAAGATGACGCAGAGTGGTCAGAAATGCTTGAAAATGCGATATAATTCAAAAATACTAATTTTTAAAAACAAACTCAATTTTAAGACTTAATATTTTTCAAACCTTCAAGTGCACTGAACTATTACACGTTCCATTAAAGGAGCCTGGGTAGAAATTACATTATAGAAACTAAAAAATATCAAAATATTTTTACTGTTTAAGGCTAAAATTTTTTAAATGTTATGATATCTTTTGAAGGGTTTGAAAACATTAAAATATTAAAGTGTAACAAAGCAGAGGGTCCAGATGGTTGTTAACGGCAACAAATAAGTTCATTTGATGTTTATAAAAAGATATACTCTTCAATTTCAATCAAACAGCGACTTTTTAAAATTAAGTTTTAAACCAAAAGCTTTAAATTTAGCAAAAGTAATACCAATAATAAAAGGTGGTCACAATGAAAATATTAGTAACTATCGTCCGATTTCAATACTTTCAGTATTTTTTAAAGTTTTGAAAAGACAACAAAATTTATAATCATATTACTATTAACAATTTACTATATAGTAATTAATATGGATTCAAAAAAAAAGCTCTACTAAACATGAAATTCTTTAATTTACTAAAAATATTTCTAATTCATTAGAAAAAAAAATAACTTAAATTGGGAATTTTTACTGATTCGACTAAATTCTTTGATACTATTAATCACGAAATTCTTTTTAAAAAGTAAAAGTGGTGCGGAATTACAGCAAATATTTTAATTTGGCTAAAAAGCTACCTAAGTAATAGAAAGCAGTTTATTTATGCGGATGAGAATTTATCATCCAATATATTGAATGTGGAGTGTGGAGTTTCTCAAGGATCCATTTTAGGACCTCTCTTATTTTTATTATATATTAATGAGCTATCTAAAGCGTATAACCTAACGACAACTATGCTGATGATTCCTACTTAATTCTTTCTCATAATAAAATTATGACACTTTTTAACAACATGAATTATGAACTAGTAAAAGTTTAAATATATTAATTTGTCATTAAATATTGAATAGTTTAAATTAAATAAATTATCATTAAATATTGATAACTAAATTGATTCTTTTCCATCCAAGCGGTACAAAATACCTGCTGCCTAGTAACTTGCCTTTTCTTTATACGGATAATATAATAATCGAAAGAGTTTTAATAACAAAATTTTTAGGTGTCTATATCGACGAAAATTTAACATGGAAAAAAGACATTGCTAACTTATGCGGTAAAATTTCAAAGAGTATAGGTATTTTATACAAAACAAGAAGCGTTCTTAACAAACGTATTATAATTCAATTATATCACTCTTTAATTCATTGTCATATCAACAATGCAAACATTGCATGGAGTAGTACAAATAAAAGTAAACTTGAACCTCTTAATCGGCAACAGAAGCATGTTGCAAAATAGAGAGGTTCTTAAGTTTCGCATATTTAAAATATTGTTTTACTCTTTATAACGAATGGTTTTACCATTAACTTTGTTTCTTGTATATATTTGAACAAATATTGTAATAAAGAACAACAACAACAAAAAATATTGATTACAGTTTTACAAATTTGGAAATAATTTGCAACAAGATTATCCTTAAAAGAAGCTCAGTGTAAAGGGATTAACTTGAAAGTAACAAAGAATAAAGAATGCAAGATCGTTTTCAAATTTGACCAAAATTAAAAAAAAAAAACCTTAGAAAAATTGAATTTCTGGTCTTTGCTAACTCTGTCCAATGCTGTGAAAATTTCAAAGTATTGATTAAGAATTACTTTATTATTTATGCCTAAAATCACACCTAAATCAAACCATACCTTAAAACCACCCCCCTCCGTCCTCCTTTCAAAGTCAAAACAATTCGTTGGCAATCCTGAATTGCGCGGCAAATTTACGTACGTTGCCGTATTTTTTTCGCAGCTAAATTTTCACGAAAAAAATAAAAAACTAAGATATAAATTTGCGAGCGAGCGCGGATCCATAGAAGATGATGGGGGGGGGGGGGGCGATAGGGTAACCGCCCTTTCTTCTTTAGAAAGTTTTAAACTTTTTACTTTTGTGAGTTTATTTATTAAAAACAGTAAGTTTTTTGAAAACGGAAATAATATAATTAGACAGTCTAAATAAGCTTACAATTTTAAAAAAGTGTTGTGATGCATATTTTAAAGTTGTGTGATTGCTTACTTACAAATTATTAAATCTGAAAATTGTTTCCCCCACTTCTTACTAGATCGTCAGCATAGCTTTTGATAAAGATATTGCACAAAAAAAGTTGCGTACACAAAAAAAAGTTAGATACTATTGTCCTAATTTTTAAATTACTTTAAAAAATTCAAACTTTTGGAGAACATTTTGTAAAAATGAACATTGCAGAGCTTAAATTTTAGGCTTTCCTTGAATGAATACCGTTTTCTTCCAATGAATATCTACGGGTATTCATTATGGGCATTATTGTTAATAAAAGACGAGATGACGGTGCTGCAACAACCACCACCAACAATGTTGCCAGCACTGCATTTGACAACCCCGCAATTACAGCAGAGATTTGTAAAATTCCAGTTAAACTTATAGAGAACATTGCCACAATCTGGACGGCACTTTCAAGTGGTTGCCATCATTTAAACAAAGTTTGCTGAACTCTGATGACAACTCTGAATACATTGTACCAGAAAGACTTCCTGGGCTTATGGCATGGCTGACATGTGCAACAGGCTCACAGACTTAAGTGATCCAAAGATTCAAGGATCATGTGTCGCAAAGCGCCAAAAATTCAAAAAGAAGTTAAAACTGCCAGCAAGAATTGTTTTATTACTTGAGTGTGTTGAACCAATTAAATCTCTCGTCACCAGGCTCTCGTAATGATAGTGATTCTAAATTTCTCTAATATTCTAAAATTCTGATAGTGAAATTAATTTTTTGGACATTTGAAATTATTTTTAATTTGATTAAAAATAAGATGAAATTCTTGGTAAAATGGAGACAACATTAAAATTCATTATTTTCCAAAATTTTTTTGAGATAATTTCAATGTGATGTTTTCAATATTATTCAATTTCAAAAAATTAAATTCAAAAATTATTTTTTCAAGTAGTCAAAAGTGTTAAAAACGAAATAAATTAAACTTGAACTTCATGGAGTTCTTGTAAAAATGGTTACAACAAAAAAGAATTAATTATTTTTCAAAAACTATTTTCTGATAATTATGTTTTCTGTTCTATTTTAAAAATTATTACTTTTATAATGTGTCAAAAGTGTTAAACACCAATAAAATTTTATTATATTAAAATATTCCTTTTTGATTTTTCCCCAATTCTAACAATTTGGAAAAGAAAACACAATTAATTCGCATTTTTAAGCATTTCTGAACACTGTGTGACGTACATGGAGCTTAATCTTTTGTTCATTTTCAATTATTGAAACAAAGTTCTTAATATTTGTATACAGTCGACTGCCATCTTTGCAGTAAAACGTTTTGACTAATATTTCGATTTATCTCCTAAGCTTTTTAAAATTCTTTTAAAAAACTCAGGAGATAAATAAAAAAAACTTTTAGGATATAAATAAAAAAAACTTGACTTTAATTTAAAAAAATTTTTTGGAAATTGATGATAAATCTATTATGAACACCCCCTTCTCTGAGTCCGACACCAATTTTAATTGAAATTAATTTGTAATTGATTTTACCTGAATTTAACTCACTGATTTTAACTGAAATTAATTTTGTAAACTGAATAGAAGTAAAACGTGTTTTTTATTAACGATAAAATTTTACATAAAAATGGATATAACAATTAAGAAAAACGAACAAATCATTACAAGGAACACAAAAAAATCATCACAAGTAAGCTCGAGGAACACAAAAAAATCATAACAAATAAGCTCGAGGAACACAAAAAACCTCAAAATTATAACTGATAGTCTAGACACAATAGAAAAAGAAAACAATAACAACAAGTCAAAAATAGTGAATATTAAAAAAGATTTGAACGACATAAAAGACTTTAAAAAAAATAATAAAAGCTCTTAAGAGGATAAAACTTGTCATAAAATATTGTTATGACAACCAAATAAATATATTATTTAAAAAGTCAATAGACTTGAAAAATCTTTCCAGAAAAAATAATTTAGGAATAGAATAGAAGCTGGGACGATTGTGAAAAAGTTGTAGAGGAAATCTTTAATAATCAACTGAATCTTAAATGAAATTATAATAGAAAGAACTCATCGCATCGGTCAAAAGAAAGATAATAAACTAAGCGCAATAATTTTAAAACTCCTGAATTTCCTCAACAAAAAAATAAAATACTCAACTCAGTAAAACATCTTAAAGGAACTGGCATTTACATAAACAAAGATTTCAGACTTAAAATTTTTTAATGTATCATGTTTGAATGCATTATTGTTGTACTGTTCACTGTCAGAAATAAAAACAAAATATGTTTTTCTTCCTTTTAATACTAGCTTTGCTGCTATACCCATGAAACACTTTTAACTTATTTTGGCAAATTATTTTTTTTTTTTTAATTTTAATGTGTGTATTTCGTATAATGATGAAGTTATTTATAATAAAAATAATAATAATAATAATAATAATAATAATAATAGTAATAATAATAATAAAGACGTCGTTAATGCCTAATTCTACAGAAGACCGCTATATAGTGACACTTGCTAAAAAAAAGCGTACTGATTCAAGCAGAAAAATTGCTATGGAGTTGAATGCTCTAAAAGAAAAAACCATTAGCGCAAGAACAGCTTGTCGTCGTTTGTTAGAAAAAGGGTTCAAAAAGTTACATACAGCAACGACGTTGTTATAGAAATAAAGCTCAGAAAAAGAAGAGACTTACTTGGCGTAAAAACTTTGTTATGTTAAATGGACTCGAAATTAATGGCCTCATGTAATAATTAGTGCCAAATCACATTTTGAAGTCATAAATAGAAAGAACCTAAAGTTTGTACGTCGTCTTCCTAATAAAAAAGATTTACCGAGTAATTTTACAACAAGAGCACGAAATGGTGGTGGAATTATTTCTGTATGTAGATGTTTTTCTGCAAATGGAATAGATTTATTGAAGTTTTATAAACGTCATTTAAATGCTTTTCGATATTAAGAAGTTGTTGTTTAATTACCGGAATCTATAGACAATGGTTTTGGTTTGCTTAGAGGTAACAAAACGAATTTTAAAATATTTATTGAAAGGTCCTGTGGGCAAAATATCTGCATCACAAATAGCTGAAATTTTCAAAAGATTAATTAAAATAAACGAGTTCGTGAAGTCGAACATGGCAGCTTGACATCACTAGTGTTTGGTACAAATGGAGGTTGGGTAAAGAATGTCATCGGTTTGTTAGAAGGCTAGCGGAGAAACTAGCGGAAAAACAAAATTAAAACTATAAAATAAAATTGAACAGGGTGTTCTTGAGAGAACTAAAATACGCATGCGTGACTTAAAATTTTTTTATCAACATAACAAATAAAAAGTAAAGACTTAACAAATTACTTATTAGCCCAATAAAAACAAGTAAAGTCACACATGCTAATAAATTAGGTCATCTGTTGCCTTTTTATAAGGTTTTGAATTTGACAATTTAACAATAATACATGGCTTAACTTGTGATGCAGTTAGTTAGGTAAATATTAAATGGATATTTC